TTCATCAAGATGATGCCGAAGTCCTTCTTAAACTGAAGTGTGTGTCATCTTAAGAGATTTCCTGTCATAGCAGCATCCTGCAGTGTGTGATAAACTTGACCTTGTTCTGCAATAATTATCTGGGTTTTGTTTGAATAAACCAATGAATTGTAGTTATTACCTGTAACTTTACATTTGTTTACAAGTGAGACCAGTAGAGCTTTCTGTTTTACCATCCTATTCAACTGTGGCATAAAACAAGTTGGATAAGTTTTCTTTATTATCAGAATTAAAGAAACTAAGAGGATTTCAAAAAAATTCTTTCTTACAGTAAAAACCATTGCAAGAACACGAGAAATCTTTCACTGTTCCCTTAACTGTTTCCTCAGGATGAAAGACTAAAAAAGTGATTACATTGACCAAAGCTCTTTCAACTTAAGCTTGGAAAAAATAATTCTGTGTTCCTACACACATGCATAATGGCCATGGCTACTATGGAGCGGTTATCTTAGGTCCTACAGTCACTTGCTTTTAGTTTTATAACTCCATTCCCAACAGAAGTTCTGATTTTGCTTTATTTTATTATAGCTAAAACATCCCCAAAGTTTTTAGTTTCTTCCCTGACTCAATTCCCATTCTGATTTTATGACTGAGCTTTCTCCCTTTCTCTGGTCTAAACATGCAGAGACAGGAGGATTTCCTGCAACTGTGTTGCTTGGCCCAGGCTGCCAGGTCCAGCCAGTTCCACGTGAGTTACTCTGTGCCATCTGCTCACTGCACATCATGCATGGTAAGAAAGACGACTACTGCTGTTATCTTTCCAGTTTCCAACTCTCTGAGGCAGCTGCAGGAGGGGAAACAGGAGGACCGAAAGCCAGGGCTGTTCTGGGCAATTTTAATCCCACTCTAACATTAGTGGGGCAAAGGGCACAAAGGGGGAAACTGCTCCAAGTCAACAAAGCAGATATTTTAGCTGTAAACACTCGCTGTATTCTAAGCCAACATGTTCTCCACCAACTGAGCTTGTAATTTTAGGCTTGTAAAGTCTTAAGGTATTTATTTTATTAAAAACTTACTTGCTATTTTAAGTGAATGTGGTTAAATACACTTTGTATCATATTTTACACAACTGTTTAAACTGGTCTTAGATTACTCACAACACTCATAAACTTACATAGCTTAGATTACCTTTCCAACTCTCACCTCCCATCTTTTACACTACATAAATGAGGTGACTGAGTTTCAATTAAAACCTACTGTTTAAAGATATTTAATAATTAAGATATGACTAATAATTGACTTAATTTTTCTACTTCTAAAAAGTTTTAAAATATACATCAAACTACAATGTAAGAAGCTATAGTTTTTTGATCAGGAACAACCCATACAAACAAATCTACGTTTGACAAAAGCACACCTGTCACAGGGCATGGCGAAATCAGGCTGGTCCTTCCTGTCGGCCAGCTTCACTGTGCAGGAAGGTGCTACTGTGGGCTTCCGGGGAAGGCATCACCAGTCTCGGCCAGTTGTACACCCTGTGAACTACAGTACCGACAGCCAGGGGAAGATCTGCCCACAGTGCGATGGTGGCAGGAGTGGGACAGACAGCCAACAGCTTCCTGAGTGGATTTAAGGCCCGTTCCACACAACAGACACACCTGGAGCTGTAAATCTGCCCAAAACCTACGGCTGGGGAGCTCACAGGCTCCAGGGTGAACCTACTACTGTCAGTCAATTCAATGGAAATAATATTAAACTGTCCTCTAAATTCCTATCTCTAAACTCATAGATCAGTGCCACCCAACTCTCATTAGAGACATTTTTTTTTTTTTTGTAGACACTGGTTAACAAAGAAACTTAGAAGCGATCAGTGTAGAGATCAGTGTAGTCAGCCATAAAAGGAACATCAATATCACATCCACCCCAAGTCTCAAGGACCACCGTGGAAGAGGGAGTTGGGGGGACTGGATTCTAAGTGTCTTCTAACCATGACAGGTCTGCTACATTCATGAATTCACATAGCTTAAATACCCCAAACAGGACCTGGACAAGATCAAGGCAGCTAACATTCTAGCACCAAGTAGGAATGGGTTCACAAGTCCCTACCCCTATTGATAAACTATAGACTAATGGCTTCTAGAAAAGGGAAAGTCAATTTTCTTGAAGGGTGTGGGCTCTGGTGGATCAAGCATGTTTAAGTGGATGTCCCACACTCATGAGTATATGGGCAGCACTAACTGGAATCACTGGTGTTTTTTTTTTTTTTAAAGAGGATAAGGTTGGAAGCCAGTGTGGAGGTGTGGGAGGGGGGTGTAGGTCTGGGAGGATTTAGGGAGGAGAAAATGATCAAAACACATTGTATAAAATTCTCAAGGAATAAAAACATTATTTTTAAAAAAGCATGGTAAATCAAATAAGCTTCCAAAATTCAAAAAAATCTTAACAGTAAAGCCAAGGTAATCTTTAATTGGGTAAAAGTATATTTCAATAATGAAAAATATCTAAAATAGAAAGTCTGGAAAAAGAGACTCTAAGTAGAATGGTCATTAAGGTGACCTCAAAGATAAAGCTCCACATGGATACTTGTAACTGTTATCTGCTATGTCAAGAGTTCCACTCTGTCCCACCTCACTACAACAGCAATGGAGCCTTGGATGTACCCACTGATTACCCACTAGGTGATCCCACCTCCACTCTAGACAGCCTCACAACCCACCTCCTCACTCAAACAGCAAGCTTCAGGTACAGTAAGAGACTGTCTCAAAAACTATGGTGGAAAAGTGATCAGAAAAGACATTCCAACATCAACCTCTGGCCTACATGTGTCCACATGGGGAATAAGCTCGCATGCAGTTCTTAAAATTAAGCTGCCAAATCAGATGTGCAACACACTTCTACAATCCTAGCATCCTGGAGACTGAAGCAGTAAGATCTCAAGTTCAAGACTATCCTGGGAGACAGAGAAAAACTAAGAGTGACGGATACAGCTCACTGGTAGAGTATTTGCCTAACGTGTGTAGACCCTGTATTTGTTCAATCCCCAGCACCATTTAAAAAACTAAAGTGTAACGACAAACAAAATTAAGCCGCCATCTGGGTCTCGTGAATTTAAGACTTTTCAACAATTCTATCCTTCTGAGTGAGTCATGCTCTCGTACAGCATGGTGTGGGTTCCTGCCACCTTCATAATCACCCCCACCATCACCAGCCCCAGTTTATACTCTAAGAACATCTACTTACTGGGAATGAGCAATCCTCTACCTGTCTCCTCAATCCCAAATTCTACTCCTGCTGAAACGGGTTTTTCCTAACTAATTTCTACTCTCCACCACAAAGACTCCCTAGGAGAAGGCTTCCCTGGCTTTCTTTGGACAGAGGTCCCGGGTGCACTTCTTTCCTAATAAGTACGATACCTGCCGAATTACTTAAGTTTACCTCCCTCACCAGGAAGTAAGCAATTCAATAGCATATCCAGCACATATGAGCCAAGTGGTGGACACTTAAAACCACACAATGAAAAATGAGTAAGTAAAGCTTGACTTAATTTTAGCTGATTTGCCTTACACCCTGTGATCTCCACTTCCAAAACACAGGCCAATCACAGTCCTTCTGAGTATCAGCATAGCCACGTCTGTCCACTTCTGCTCATCCTGCACTAGACTGCCACAGCGTTACAGCTCTTCTTCACACTTCCATTCACCCCAATACACCCTCCCTCACTCACTCACATACACACCTGCACAGGCCTGCACGGCACTGCCACCCCTCCCCCCCTCAGCACTTGTCTACGGGCCAGGATAGCTTGGCGAGATACAGACCTTTTTAAAAAGTCTTTTTTAAAAATGCAGTTAAAAAAACAAAACGAAATGAATCAGATCAGTCCTTACTTGCTCCTTATGTTATTTAGTCAAACATTCAAACTCGCCCAGCTTCCTAAAACGCTGGGTTTTGTTCTCCCTGCCTTAGAGTCTTTACACTGGCCCTTTTCCCCTGGAGACCAGCTCAGACCTCACCTTTCCAGCCAAAGCAGCTCTGTAACCTCCACCTCACATGCTCTCCATCCCACCCTGCACTTTCTTCTGAGTTCATTACTTCCTCCAATTTATTTATAAGTCAATCTCCCTTAGGAACTTTCTATTTGCACACCACTATATCCCCATTTGTCTAAAAACAATACCTTACACACACCAAGCACCTCATCAGCATTTGTAAAAACAAAAAAAACAAACAAGAAAGGTAACTCAAGATATACATAAAACAAAGTAAAAATGGCTAGTCTATCAAACAAGGTAGAAAACAATCTGCTAAGGAGAAGTCTGGTCTTCCTGGGATCCATCATCTACAGGCATCGGTGTATACTTCTCACGGCTCACTGGAAACAAGCAAAGCCAGCCCTTACCTATGGCACTGCCATCACTCAGAACATTCTGTCTTTGGGATACACACATGCAGCTGTAATGTACACACAAAGCTCTGGAACACACTCTCAAACGACCTGCCACAACCCTCCTAACTATGGTACTTACCTATGAAATGATGAAAATTCTATTCAAACTTTCAACCTCATGAGAAACAGGTCCTTCTAATGTACAAGGCCGGCCTCTGAGATGAGTTCAAACTACAACACAGCAGACTCAGCCTCACCTACAATCCTTGTTTAAGTGTGTGTCTCATCACGAGACAGCAGAGCTTTTAACTATTGACTGATTGACCAAGGCCTGATGAAACTACCAGCCAGTACTTGTCAGTCACAGTTATGGGTATTTGTTTAATTTCCATTCAATGACTCTTTATTCAACTTTCAATCATTGAGATGGGAATAGCATACAACTTCAAGTAACAGAGATAAAACAATATATTTCAATGTTGCTTGATTAAATCTCAGTACTCAGGAAAATAAACTGTAAAATAAACAAGAGTTAACTACCCAAACAAAATAATTACATTGTAACAATCACTATGCACAGATGATTGAAGTACCAGAACCCAGCCCCTTTCCCCGGGTCCCCGGCCTCACTTACCTTGGGATGGTAACACATTTAGTATTGCAATTCTGAGTGGTGATGGCTTTCTCAAGCTCATCTAATCGTCCTGTTTTCTTTAGCTTTTTCACCAGACTTTTCACCGCTTTCTCACACCACTTTTCTTCCTGTCCATTCTGCTCTCCACCACCTGCTCCTCCAGACCCACTGGCTGATTTTTTCCATCCCAGAAGTCTTTTCACCACTGGCGGAGTGAACGGCAAGATGGACGACATCTTCTTACCAAAGGTTACAATCCACACTCAAACAGCCTGGCAAATATATCCTAGAAAAGACATTGAAACATTAATTTTAAAACTAACTTACAGGTAGTGATTTCAACACGCTATAGAAGCAAGCCATAGCACAGAACAGAAATTCAAATTCTTCATTCTGAAGTTCTATACTCATGGAAATGCTGAATTGTAGCAACAAATCCTTCTAAAATCAGGATGACTCAAATCTTGGGCAAATATAATTTTGCAAATAAAATCTTTATCAATGCTCTGAACAATTTTAATAATGTAATTTCTCCTTATTCTTAATTTTTTCAAATTAACACTTGACTAAAATGTTTTCACAAAGACCATTTTTTTCCACATTTTTAGGACTTTGGTCTATTCTCGAAAGATCTAGCAAAAATCAAGACTTGAAGTGTATATAATAAAGTGGTAGAATACTTGCCTAACATCAACAGGCTTAGGGGTGGGGGAGACTTAAAATAAAATATATACAAACCAACTGTTCACAGTTTTACATTTTCATTAAGAATTTAAAAAAGGAAACAAACTTGTGGATAAAAGGCTCTATTCAACCCTGTCAGCTTTAATTCTACCTATTCATAACACCCATGTTCTCTTTTATCTAGTAATAGACACAAACTAAGCACAATTTTTCTTCCTACAACGTGCCATTCTTTAATATCTTTTATTTTATGTCAAAGTAACAGGCTTGTAACAGTAACCCTTCAAACACTAAGTTCAGGTATAAGCTATTGAATTCCCTATGGGAAATGATGGGATAATTCCTTTACATCATTACTCACTTCCCCTTCCCTTACTCTGAAAATCACTTTGCAGTTGTAATTAAACAATCATGTGTGTACTGTCCAATGGGATCAACGGTAAGTTCGTTCTTTCTGTACACCTTTCGGTACTCACAGACTCAACCTTCCCATTTGCGTTTCTCCTATGTACTTTACCACCAAACTGTCCTCTCTCTGCCACTCCCTCAATGAAATTTGCAATCATACACATAAAAAAGTTCAACTGAATGTATTCCACACACATCCTAGCGCTCATGTTCTTCCCCTCTGAACTGAACTAGTGATCCCCTGTCCTGCACCATTCCTAGGAACTCCCTTCACCTCTGTGAGCTGAAGTTGCTATCTTCCTAATACCATGCCTTTCTTTATCTTTCTTACACACCGCATCTATTGTTTTGTGGGGTATGTAAACCCTGAGAAAGGGATACAGATGTCTGTAAGACTCGGTCGGAACACATCTTTTTTACACAATATTATTTGCTTTTAGAAATAGTAATATACTTCTCCCACTTGTTGCAATGATTAAGATACGGTACCATCTTACTTTTCTTAAACAACAACAACAACAACAAAAAAGCAAGTCTCTGACAGTTATTTCAACTCTGTAATTTGGTGCCCATAAGAAAAGTACAGAGATCCTCCTCTTGGTCCTTATCAAAGCCTGGAATCATCATTGCCCATCATTTGCCTGGCTGGTTCAAAGGGAAATTCCATCTCATAGTTGTTTTTTAGTTCAGGTGCCAAACAGATGATGCAGTTCACTTGGATAGCTTACCTCCTGAGTCCTCTTAAACCCAGAGCAATCCCTACCCTAACTGATTCAGGAAGGAACTGCTATGTGAGTTTATACTCTACTTGCTTTCCCTGTGGTGTCACTAATTTATCCTTCTAGCCATACAATAGGAGGTGAGCTATACAGACTTTAGATTATATTTCAACCTCCAACAATAGACACTGTGTGGTCCGTATCACATTATGTATCTATAAGCCAACAATGCTCTACCTGCTGCAGCAGCTAGTGACAGACTGCACCAGTTTGCAGGCTAAGAATTTCTATCACCCTTCCATGCAGTATGATCACCCTTTAATGACCAGTAGCAAGATGTATTTATTAGGGTTACTTTCTCTGTCTATTCCATCCATTATTAGCTATAATTCTTTAAAAGGAACATTTCCCCATCAGCTAGGGAGGGCTGTGTGTTTATCCTAAAAGACATTTACTTTAAGCTAAATCAGGTTAAATGTCTAAGTATTTCGTTTTAATGTCTATTATTTCTATTAGTTCCCTGGGGCTGCTGTCATGCATTACCATAAACCTTTATAAGGGTATGGAGGCCCACAGAGGCTATCTAGTGAGAAATTACTCAGGGTCAGAGAATCTGAGTTTGCTTTACCCAGCAAGGCTGCATAATGTAATGATTTGACCACAGCGTGGTTACCAGGTATTTGGAAGGGTCTACACTTGGCTGTACACTACTTTGATCTTGCAAGGGGGAGGTCTTTTGCCTCTCCCCTTGGCATATTATAAAAAGCCCTTTTGAATAAACCTCTGGGTGGTTGGGTATTAACCCAGGCCCTCCCAAAGCTATCCTGTGTCTCTCTCCTCATCGTCCAGGCTTATCTTTCTGATATTTTCTCATTCCTCTCTCCTCCACCTAAGAACCTTTCAAAAGGTGGGAGCAGGTCGGAGCTGGACTCCCACAGACTCCCACATAAGGGCACTTGGCACTGTGCCTGGGGTCCATCAAAATTTAGAGTGGCAGGAGGGAGGACGGGGGAATCCGTGGCTGATATGTGAAATTAAGTTAATTATAAAATATATATAAAATTTAGAACAACCTCATCTTAAAAATCCATAAGTGTATCTTATAAAACCCTTTTATCCAAATGAAATTACATTCACAGGCAGGGTGGGGTTGGGGGTGGGATTCATTTAGTGCACTTTAACTGGTTTATTCTCATGTCCTTTTCCCTAACACTGGAAATTTTGGTTTTGAATACAGTCACTTGTATTATCTTACCATATATAGAAAGAAGTTTGAAGTAATACCAATATAATTTCTAAAACTGAGATTATTAGACAAAAGTTTAAGATTTCTTTGCAGCTCTATCTACTGAGGACAATCTGGAAAGTGCCTTGGAAAGTCACCTAAAATAACTGCTTTCTCTAGAGGTGTTAGCAACGTGAGATAGTCAGATCCATTTCTGTATTCCTTCCACTTCTTAAGGATTGTTCTTTTCCCTAAATTTTACACTCATTATGGAAATGTATATACAAGGTCACACTACAGAACAAGTGTCTGCCCACTCTATTAGCTTCTTCATGTAAACCATTCCTCTAGTTTTTTCTAGTCTGTGTTGTTTTACAGCTATAAACACAAACCACACAACTCTACTCACTCTCAACTTATCATTCCTATATATTATGTACACTACTACTCTGTAACTAGATTTTTGCACCAACTTTATTTCCTAAAGTCAATCTTTATCAGTTCACACAGTGAACTTAAAGACAGGCCAAATTAAAATATCCAAACTGAACCACAAAGGTGTGTGCAGGGTGGGGATCCCAGAACATGCAGGAAGAAATGCTAATTATGCTTATTTAATGTCTAGTCTTCTCAATTTGAAATGTCTCAGCATGATGAGCTGGAGCCAGGTGCAGTTCAGTGGGTAGAGCACTTGGAGCATGGATGAAGCTTTTGGTTCAATTATCTACAGTTCAAGGGGGGAAAAAACTAAAAACTCACATGGAAATAAAAAATATGTAGAATAATCAAATTTAATTTTGAGAATAAAAAAGGAAACTAAATGACCTATATTACCTTATTTCAAGACTTGAAAAAATAAAAAACACAATTAAAAAACCTAAAGAGCCTTAGTAATTATAGAGGAAGCACAGAGGGAAAGGTTATGTACGTACTAGTAGACAAGGAGGTCCAGAGAGTCTACAGATTTATAGTCCACTTTCCATTAAGGTCTACTTTTCAAGAACTTTCCAGTATGTAAATGAAAAGCATCTACCACTTCCTCATATCATTTTTCATGGCTAAGCAGAATCTTTAGCTCTTGGAGGAGAAAAGAGTATTTTCATGACTTTAAAAACTTAAAAAGCTGTGTTGTATGAAAGGACAGAAGGTTAGCACTCCCCTTGACAAGGATGGAAGAGGCCCTTGTCAACAAGATAGACAAACCTCTAGCCAAATTAACCAAAAGGCC